GCCGACACAGGCGCTAAATTTCGCCCACACGGGGAACCGTTACGACGTGCCGATGTCAAAATATTTACTACCCTTTGGAGGGAATCCCTCGTACGACCTCCACGACCCTACCCAACAGAGGGTGTTGCTGAGACTGCTACCACTCAACACATTCCAGTTCCACCCGCAGAATTCTTCCAAAAATGGCGCCGTGCGGGAGGGGGCCGCATAGTTTCTGAGCAAGATCTATTTGTTTAGGCCATTTGGTATGTCTCGTTCACGGCCACGAACGACCCCCCCCCTGAAACCTCAAATGCAGGCTCCCCCATTAACACATTGACGACAGCGAGACCCGGTTGCGCGCCTCAAGTTCACTCGATTCTGGCAGTTTTTTTCGATTTATTGGCATTTTTTTTCAGAACAGTGTGCATGCGTTATCTTATCCGAAAAACTGTGCATCAATCACCAGTAGTGAAATTATTGAAAAAGTTATGACGATTGTGAAAAAAATAAACAAAAAGGTGCCGAGGTACACGCACAAGGGGCTGTCGTCAATGTGTTAAAATCATAAATACGACCCCTCGTTGGAAAATTCCAACAGTTGGTGGACCTGTGATCAGACTTTCTCCTTTTAGTGAAATTCTCCTTCTACATTCATTCACTTCGAAACCTTAGCAGCAACCTCCGGTTCTGTCCTTGGGATGACAAATGAGTCAAAGGACATAAAAACTTCTTCTTTGCATGGAAGATGATGCTTGGCAGCCGGGCGAAATTAATCACAAATCCCTTGCATCTACTAGACCCACGCGTCCAGCCTTGCAGATGAGGTGGATGACCTTGTACATGGCGTAGATTTTTCACTGCTTTATTATCCTCAAACAGCCTTCGGTCTTCTCATAACTGTCCTCCTAATCCGATAAATACCACCGTATACCGGCTGACGCTCTGAGCGGCTCATTCCTACGAAGGCTTCCTCTTGATAATCCCCTGCCACTTATCTTTATTATGACTGGAGAATGTCAATGAAATGCCTTGAGAAGCCCTCTAACAAGGATGGCTGGCCAGTTGTCATGGTCCCC